TCGTTCTGCAGATATGTATTTTTCTATCTATGTGTGTCATTTTACATAACCCCTTTTCAAAAGTTAGTCACGTACAAAACTAAGGAAATGAATGTATAAAATGGCATTAAACAACTGTATAAAATTACAGATAATTCTAAAAACATCGATCCGAAACGATTTGCTAGTCTGCGTGGAACTGCGCAGCAGCGAACTTTGTTTGCATCCAAATCAAGTTGGAGATAAGAATTTTTAGTTATGTGGTGCAATCCGTAAGCAGATATCGTCGATAAGGTCTGGATTAGCATGTTTGAAACGAAATTTTTTGACTCACTTAAAATAAGATAAGCATTTAGATTCGGTAAGTACTGATAAGGGAAATGGGGCTCTCCAGCAAATGAGGAATTTGTTAACTGACATAATCCCAAGCAATCAAAACTTCCTCAAAGTACCAAGGCTGCAAAATGCATGTTGATTCATGGTTCTCCGCAATTCAATTAGCAAATTTTAACATTTGAAAGGTATGACTATCTACTTTTAAACGAAACAGACAGGGGAGCGATTGTACCTGTGGTTGGGTAGTCGGGACGGGAAGTTTCGTGAGAGTGGCTCTGTGAAAATTCGTATTGACCGGTATAATGGTAAATTCCTGAAAGTAGACCTACAGATCCGCGCTACCGGGTGGCCAGAAAACGGTCCTGTTGATATCCTGAATCACCGGGAATATGGTCAATTCCTTAAAGCTGACCAGGAGAACGCTATTTCTGCTAAATTGCATACAATCTTGAGCATAGAGGAAATATGCTAACACTTGATCGTTTCTGCTACGAGGATGTTGGAAAACAGTTCTCCGGATATCTGGATTGTTGTTGCTGTCTCTTATAAGCAGTGTCACTTTCAAATCTCATTCATTGAGCCTCGCTGTGAGAATAAACTTCCGTGTGAATCTGGCAAACAAATCTCACACTTGTCTCATGCATTTTCACCGCGTGTATAAATCTAAGCTAGTAGCACCAAAGATGGGTCAGCTGCCTCAGATCCGGATAATGCCGTTCCTACGACCGTTCACGTTTGTAGGATTGGACGGAATATTTTGGCCCCTGCTTCGTTAAGGTAGGACGAAGCTCCATCAAGCGCTTTACGTGCCTTACTGTCCGTGAAATACATTTGGAGATAGTCTTAAGTTTGACAACGGATTCGTTTAATCATCACTGGAAATATATTTTGGGAAGCGAGATACGGGAAATCAACGACACGACGAGCAGCACCTTTAGGGCTGCGCACACCAAATGGCGGTTCAACCTCCTTCTGCTCCTCACATGGGTGGGTGTTGGGAGCGTATGGTACGGTCAGAGAAGACAGCATTGCCAATGTTATGGAAGTTAGACTAAGAATCCTTCATGCCGTTGATATCGGAAGCAGAACATACGGTCAACTCACGGCCATTGACTTACACGTGCCACTGGATAACGAAGAGCGGTAGTCGTTGACTCCAAGTTACTTTCTCATGCTTAGTTCAAGCGGCGTTCGACAGCTGGCCAAGGCTCCTGTGGACGAAAGGAAAGCTGTAAGGTCTGTATCCCCATTAATCCCATCAAACACATTCAAATCTCTGCAACTTATGAAATATTGCACGTAGGAGTGAAAAATTTCGCTGAGGTATAGCTGGGAGCTATTGATGAAACATACTATGATTGTTGTTAACATTTCATGTTTAGTGTTTGAGCTGGCGATGATTGGAAAACACGTGCGCGAGCGGATTTTGTACGGACGTAATGCAAATCCTGATTTGTCAATACGGGAACCTACAAAACATAATTAGATTTACCTAAATCCACTGTTCACGCTGTGCTCAAAACATTTTCGGAACGTTTGACGGTCGAGAGGAAACCGAGAAGTGATGGACCGAAAGGTGAAGTAAATTCCGAACCTCTTTGTTTGAACGGTGGCTCGTAAAATAGGAATGTCACCTGGTTTTGTCCAAAAATAAAAACAGCATTTGGGGCTGAAGTCGTATAAAGTAAAAAAAGTAGTGAACGACAAACAGAATTTGACAGCAAAATCACGGGCTTATATTTGACGAAGTTTTCATGCGTTATTATGGACAATGAAACTTATGTCCAGTAGGATTTCAAGCAGCTTCCAGGGCTGGCTTTCTATTCTGCTATGGCCAAAAATGCTACAGCTGAGTATTTCAGGACGAAGCAGGCGTCGAAATTTCTTAAAAAATACCTTATTTGGAGTAAATCTTTCGTCGCTACAGGCCCAATTAACAAGGAGATTTATCAGAAAGAGTGCCTGCAGAAGCGATCGCTACCCGTCATCAAAAGCCACAAAGAAAAGCCCGATTTGAAATCATGCCATTATGCTAAAACTGTGATGGAGTGGTACGAAGCAAATCAAGTGAATATTGTACCATTTTGGGCTCTGATGAAGCGGAAACTTTCTGGAAAGAAACAAGGAATCAAAGATATCAAACACTTCCGAACAATTTGGACAAAGACGACCACCCCGGTATCTGAGGAGTTTGGACAAACCCTATTGGATGGATTTAAGCGCAAAGTTCGAAAATTTCAAACAAATACCGAATAACTATGTTTTGACTTCGTGAATTTTTAAGTTACATCCCATGAATCTAACAGAAACAACTACAATTGAAATATAATGCGAAATTTGTGTTTTACTTAAGTTTTGATGTGTCCGGATTATTGTGGATAGAGAGGCTGATACAACCCATGCTGGATGAGTTTTGGCGTCGTTGGATCGTCGAATACTTGTCGATGATATCTCGGCGTACTAAATGGTTCCAATACGTCACACTAATTAAGGAGAATGCGCTAGTTTTGATAGCAGACGAAGGGGTCCGAAAGCAGACAAAGATGGAGTAGTGTGCCGGGCAGATGTAAAGACATCTAGTGGAGTTTTGCGGAGACCTGTTTGTAAACTGGCAGTTCTTGATGTTCGTGGTGATGCGGAAGTCAAAGCAGAGATTCGAGGAGGTGCTGAATTCGGAGCAGAAATTAGCGGAGACGGTGACGTTGAAACAGTGTTCGAGCGACACGAGGGGAGAATGTTCCGACAAGTGATTCCATTGGACAGAGGAGATAAAGGATCGTTGTGGCGTTAGAAACCTTAGATTGATAAGAGATCATCATCATGTTATTGATTTGTCATCATTGTGTTAGGATGTGTATAGAAGCACAATTTTACAAGTAAATTACAATCCATACTTTATTATGCCTAATTAGATTATTTTAGTTAAAACTAATTACAGGTTAATCTTAAAATAATGTTGAATTTATTAAACATATTGGAATTGTGAATAACGTAGCTCTAGACCGATGGTATGTAGATTGTATTGAACTAAAATAACTTCAAACTCATAATAATAAACTTTATAGCTTTGAGCTGTCGCATCACAAATAAGAAGATTCGCTACAAAGAGCTCAGAAAAGTACATTTTCGCAACAGGACTAGACACATTTTCATGATTCTGGGACTCTAATGAACATACTTTACAAAAAAATTCCCTGATTGATGACAACATTTCCTTATAATTCCAGGCTTTTGAGGTCTATTGAAATTCCATGATAATTCCAGTTTTTCATGGTGCTTTTTCGAAATTTTTGAGCTAATTTAATTCATTTGCCAACATCGAGTGAATGTGAGTGAACGTGATTCTCTATTCGATAGTTAATTTCCGCGAAATTTGGAAATCCTATTACTGCGCACTGAATGCTGAGATGTGAAGTGCAGTTCTACCATAGAGGTAACTCTAAGACTAGAAGGTCCCGAAATACCGTGCTCAACTTTTTTGCTCAGCTCTGGTACTCTCTTCGGTCCCAAGCTAATCGATTCACCCCTCGAAAATCCACTAACCCCTCATTTTATCTGTCAAACTTTCATAGTGCAGTTCTACCCAGGGCATCACAATATCGGCTTCAATCGACAAAATAGATACGACGAAGAAACTGCTAGTTTTCTTTTTTCTGTTGCAGTCGAGCAGTTTTGCATCATTCTAGCACCACCCTTTCAAGCTTCGGTGAAGCGGACGAGTGAAAGAGCGCTCGACTTCGATCAGCTAGCCTTTCATGGATATATATATTTAATGCATTTTGCACATGTTAACATTTGAAGATTGCACATACTGTCTTTCCTCCATATGTTTATTTTAAAAAAGTAACGAGAGCAGGTGACAAAGTGTCGATGAAAGGAATTGAAAGTCAATGTGGTGAGGCTGCGTTTCAACTCGAAAATCGATGCTGCTTTCATTGAAAGAAAATGGGCAAAGCAAGGCGAGAAAAAGTACAGCCAGGCTTTCGTTCTTTTTTATTTTTTTTATTAATTACTTTATTTGTACAGGCTCAATCGAATAAACTTTACAGAGCCGAGCTATCATTTTCGTTATACATTATTAATGTCTTATATTTAAAGTTAAAGGAACTGGACCGGATACGCGCGGTTGTCTCGAGGTTAGTCAGGCTTTCGTTCTAAGCGTGTTCTTTTTTATGTTAATTTCGCACTGATAGGATAGCTAGGCGTTTAAAAATGATGCGTTAAACACGTTGCTTGAAAAAAGAAAAAAAAAAAACTCGAGCTCATTTTAGAGCTTTGAAAATGTAGAGTCCCCTTCAATATCCGGAGAGCTGGTGTTTGGTACCTTGTTAATCAATATTTAGATAACCTGAGCATGTCCATTTCAAGCTGCCAACTGAAGTGCAGTCCTTTGATCTTCGTCCACTACGTTGACTTCACATCAGCAAGAGCTCTGCAACATTTTAATGACCATGCCATGCTCCGCTATCAAGCGGAACTCAACCGGTATTTAAACACTTATAAAAAAATCATATAAATTTACATAAATTTGAGTCATAACAGGCGCGATATAGCTTAATCAAACGTACTTTTCGTCGAGCAACGAAATTTTCAGTCTCAGAGCACTTAATATAACATGACATGCTTGTTTACGTCTCATATTTTATGTCAAAGACGGATTCCGTCACGTGCAAAATTAGTTATTTCTAAGTGTGTATGCGAGAGTTGCCGTTCACTCCATGATCGATTAAACATTTTATTACCTCATCGTGCCCATTTTCAGTTGCCAAATGTAGAGGTGTCAATTTTGCTTCATCCGTTGCATGGACGTTAGCATTGTTCGCTAATAAGAGTTCAGCAACATCTTTATGACCATTGCCTGCTGCAATATGAAGTGCAGTTTTACCGGAAATTGAACACATGTTAACAGTGACACCGTTGTTAATCAACAGTTGGATCAACTGATCGTGTCCATTTTGAGCTGCGAAATGAAGAGCAGTCCATTGTTTTTCATCCACTGCATTCACGTCAGCATTGTTTGATATCAAGAGTTCTGCAACGTTCTTATGGCCATTTCCAGCTGCGGAATGAAGAGCAGTACATCCATCTTTATGCACTGAATTCACGTCCGCTTTATTCTTTAATAAGAATTCACATATTTCAACAAACCCACCTTCCGCAGCAACCAGTAACATAGCCGCTAGGTTTTCTGTTGAGAATGATTTAAAAATTGGTTCAAAAGAGGAAATGATACTCAAACAGTCACACTCACATGCCCACAGTGCAATCTCCCAGCTTTTTTTACACAGATTACTTAAGATCGTGAGGTATGCCTGGTTTCCTTCCATCTTGGTCATAGAAAATCTTCGAACACCGTGATTTGTAGACAAAATTTGTATGACAATTTCTCCTGACAACGTAAAAATGTTGTCGCATAGATATTTTGCCACAAAGTATTCACTGTAAGACCGATGGCAAAAATCAACCTTCTGTTGGACTACATGAACCAGTTGTGATGTATCTGATTCATGTTCGCATCGTTTTTTAAATTGATCATGTATATCTCTATAATATTGATTTGTGAACAATTCGTTACGTACTTCAATGTTTTGCAGCTCCATAGCTAACAACTGATGCTTCAAAATATAATCACCCATCAACAAATCCAATTCAGCGTCGCTCAGAGCATATTTGGGCTTGAATTTTTCCATAAATTTCTTGTGAAAACATCTTTTAACAAACTGTCCGTACAGCTGTGGAATATTCATTTTTTCTTTAGTCAGATCAACGAGCTGATTTGGGTTCTGTTTTTTCAATGAATGGTATTTTTTAAATTTTTCTAAATAAACCTCTCCCAGCGTATTGACCATGAAAGGCGCACCACAAATTTCACCAAAATTTGAAGGGATATTTGATTTAAATTTGTTTAAAATATGTTTCGAGTAGCTATCAAAGCAATGTTCATCTAGATCTGGGTCGTACCACATCTTTCTCAAATAGTTGATTTGCTCTTCCACACAGAATGGCTCCAGAATCATAGATCTTACATTAAATTGCTTCTCTAATAATACTTGCATATGTTTTCTGGCGCTGATGATGATTCGAATGCTCTTTTTCAACTTGAGTTGTTCCAGCATCTCAATCACCCTGTTGGTGTACTTGGAGTGGATCTCGTCGAAGCCATCCATCTCTATAAGAATGGAATAGCCTTGGTCATCCCTTTCATCTGGGGCATTTTTAATGACATCGAAATATCGCTCTGAAAGGATCACTTTGAGTACATTAAGCACATCATCCAAGCTTGAAATGTGTTCTACTTTTTCGAGCTCCATTACCAACTCGCTCAAGTATACCAACAGTACGAGGACAGTATTTTGCTTCTGCACTTCAAGCGCTACAAACTGAAGCAAGCTAGTCTTCCCCATTCCAGGGTCTGCCAGAAGTATGATGATCTGATGGTCTTTAAATGTTTTCCCAAGCTCTTCGACAAACTGAGTGTCACTTTTTTCAACTTCAAAGACATCTTCGCCATTTATAATACGGCGATTGATGTAATATTTTTGCAATTGTTTTGCTTCCTTACCTTCAAGGTTCTCGTTATCATTTCTAATTTCACTAAGACAGTTTAGTATATCACTTTGTTTCAAAATTGCCTTCATTTTATTCTTTATGGGTTTATTGAGTTGGTCAAATTTTAATATCAGATCTCTAAATATCAGATCGGTGTTACTCAGTTTTCTGAGTACATCTGGACAAATCCACGTCTCACACCACGTCCACAGCTCGTTTTCAATCATTGGACATAAATCATATGGTTGACCCACTAATAGAGAAAAGTCGTCGAAGAATGGCAAAATTTCCTCCTCACTGACATAACGTGGCAAATGTTGCACCCTTGAATTTTTGAGTAAAAAGTTATTCACTGTTACTGTCTTCTTCATATCAAACTTATCTTTTTCCAGAGCATTAAATAGTTGGGCAACATTGAATTGCTCGCTTTCCGAGTTGAAGCTATCTAAAAAACTGCATTCCTTTTTTTTTTATTGTTAAAACGTCTTTCAGAGGAGTACTATAGGTTTCTAAAATTTTACTGACGGTTCCATTGTTGAAAAGCTCTTTGATTGCCTCTTTAAGGTTTGCGAAATCTTTGTTGATAAAATTGCTCAACTCCTTAATCGCTTCTTTGGTTGGAACCAGTTTCAGGTATCGGGCCTTGGAGCCAGGAAATCGTAGGATTTCATCTACTTCTACCTCTTTAGTCGTCACCCAATCATCATTGGAGATTTTTAAATCCCTATTAGTAAATATATAGAACTGCTTTTTGTATTGGTCTTTCTGAAAATTTTCAACAACTTTCAGATAGGATTGCAGGTATTTGTAAATACTGAAGTCTCCGTTGTGTTGATCTTTTAGTGCATTCAAATCGATATCATTAACCTTGTCATCTTTGGCAAGGGCGTGCTTCACCTGGAGGAAGTGTATCACCTTACGCTTATCGTCAAAGATCACTACGTCTTCATACTTGTCGGCTAGTGACATATTATAAGCCAATCTGAAACTGTCTCTCCGCATCCGTAGAAAAAACGCGACTGCAATTTGTTTTTTGAATACTTCACCGTGGTAGCCTGTTTTGCTTTTTCTTTCATATGTTCCGTGCTGTATTAGGTTCAGCATTTTGAATCACCTGGAGAATAGAAGAGAAATAACGCATTAGCGAAAGTGACAAAGTTGTTACAGTTTGACGATGGTGACAGTTTTTCACCTCAACAACAGTCCTGTAATGGAGCAGCCAAATTAATTCTCAGATTTGCAAGTTTGTTGTGGGCAATGATTCACATTCAGCTCCCAAAAGTGTTAAAACCAAAATATCTCAAAATAATTTTGTCCGTTTTTCTATTAAATTTTTTTTCTCGAAAAGCGCAAACTTAATTATTCACACTTAAAAATTGACAAAAATCGATGAACAAGAACTTTAAGTCAAATGTTTGAACTTTTCGTTTAAACGTACTTCTGAAAACAATGTTCAAAGAATTTTAAATATTTTTTTTTTTGAGAAAATAAGCATAAATGCGTACCAACAAAAAGTTCAAAAAATTTACCAAAAATTCATGTTCTACATTTTTTTTTCAGTTTTCAACTGTCCATGGTTTTGAACTTGCCAAAAGTTTGCATTTCTCATAAGCTTTTTTCATAAATCAGGCAAAGAAATTTTGAGATTACATTTGTGTTACATTTTTACTTGAAATAAATTATAAAAACCTTTTGGAAAAAGAAAGACATTATTTTCCTCTGCAACTTTGTTTCAGACATCATATCTAAAATTTACAAGTCACAAAATGAACGAATTTAGCAGAAATGTGAATCTTTGCCCATAACAAACAACTACGCAAAGTGTAACAAAAATCGAAGAAGGTCGATACAAAAATCCATGTTTTTCGGCTATTTTGCCAGGAACTTCTTAATTCCTCACTCGATCTTCTCCGATTTACGTGACGCTTTTCATAATTGTTTGTTATGGTCAATCATTAACATTTGACCTTTACTTCGGCCTTTTTTAATCTCGCAAAAATCTTGATGATTATGATGATGATGATGATGATGATGATGGTCCCACCTCTTACCCCTACAAAGGTTTGAGCTGGACGATTTATCTTTAAGATAATTAAATATGACATTTTAACCAGGTTAGCAAACAAAATCGAACTGCTTTCAGTTACAGATATAAATTCCCTCTACAGTTTACAGTTGCTTCACAGCTATATAAATTTGGAAAAGCTCAGGCGTCCACCTCTTAGCTCGCCTTTTTGTCCACCTAAACTATTGATAAGTATTACAAGCGATCAAGAGTTAATGAACAATCAACAAAGCGAGATTTTTTTAATTAATCTACTATTAAATCAAATGTTAAAAATCCATCATCACCCTCGTGGCGAACAGAAATAGTTTTTGCAGTGCTACAATAATTATTAAAAAATCGTTATGAAAGCTATCCATATAAAATAATCCGTAAGAGATAACTTCGTCAAGATACATAATTTGTCAATTCATACAAAAAAAAAACAATGGATAACCTTTCAAAAGACAGTTTTAACGTGTAAAATGCAATGTATCTTAAATTCTGTTAATGTTGTTGCACGTTTAATGTGTCTAGGTATGAACTAAAAAATATTTATTCCTTAAAAAATAATGAATTTTGGGAAGCACATGTGTAACCTTGGATTAATTTGACTGTGATATTTTGCCACTAATTGAACATGCTCGCGTGAGGATCGAACTAAGAATGAATTTATTCAGAATTTACTTAATCCTTCTTACATAGCTTAGCTTGGAGACACTTGAAAGCACTTATGTATTATTATGTATCGGAACACCAATCAGCGATCGATACTGGAAAAGAGAGAGGACAGGGAGAGAGAATTCTGGAGAAGGCTAATTGCGCCAAACCAAATGCGCTTGACAACGACACGTGTATTGTCGTGTCAGGCTTTAAGTCATCGAATTGCTTTATGAACTCATTTGCATTCGTTGCATAACGCAGTTCGATGGCGTTGGAAATCTACAGGGTGTCGATAAGTGTGGTCCTTGAGAATTTTGGGATATGTTAACATGTGCGATACACATGTCACACAAGTCAAGATATGCGGTGTTATTATTTCAACCGCGTTTTTAGTATTATATCTATGATAATCACTTCCTCTTTCAATTCGATCACACAAATATCGAGGCAGCAAACCGTTAACTACTTTAAAAATGAACACCATCGTCAAATAAACAATTCTTTGCTTCACCGACAACCATCTAGCATCAAAGTTGAGGAAGTGAATCTATTACATCTCAAAATCAAACGCATTATTTTATTCTGCAAGCGCTGTAATATCGATATTTGTGTTTTATTGACCAGAAATAAAATGGAAGGGGAAAAGTCTAGATGAGGAGAGATTATTGATTTGTATTGCTGTATTTTACTGGCTATAGTTAAATCGTTTTTCAGTCGACATAGAATTCCATACTTCTCGGCAATTTTCTTGATGACATTGTCAATGTGAGAGTTGAACTTAAGTGTGTCATCAATAATCACGCCAAGATATTTAATCTCCCGAACGCGATCAATAGTCTCATCATCAATTACAACAGAGACGTTCTCATTTACTCGACTCCGCGAAATTACCATAAATTTAATTTTTACTTGTATTCAATTTCAACTGCTTATACTTCAACCATCTACTTAGAGAACGCAAATCTTCATTCAAGTGTAAAACGGCATCATCTTAATCCTTAGCTGCAATGAATAACACAGTATCATCTGCAAAAGATTGATGTCGCAAAATCGTAAAACACGTCGCAAGTCATTAATATACATCATAAATAACAGGGGCCCTAATACACTTCCCTGGGGCACTCCAAGGTTATTCCCCACGGGACTGGAAACAGAATCATTAAAAACAGTCCGTTGAGTTCTGTCAGACAAATAGCTTTCAAACCATTTATATGCAGTACTCGTAATTCCAAAGCGCTTGATTGATCTTAATAATAAGGGCCTAGAAATTGTTCCAAAAGCGCGTTTCAGATCCAAAAAAACAGCAACAATCGTATCTTTACACTCCAAGTTATTTTTCCACTTCGCTAATACCAAATTCAACGCGGTTTCACAAGAATGACCTTCCCGATATTCCGATTGTTCTGGTATCAACAAGCTATTACTAGTTAAATACTCCTACAGCTGGCCTTTAACAACAAGTTCTAAGATTTTCTATAATGTGTGCAACATGTTGATAGGATGAAACTCTTCGGCTTTCATCGTTCCAGCAACTTTTTGAATAGCGAGCACTAAGGATTCCTTCCAAATTTGTGGCACATAACTCTAAGTTCATCTAATGTAATTGGGTGAAAAACTTCAAATCTACAACTACTATTAACTGGTTGTTTTATTTCGTCATGTTCATCGACCAATTCAATGGATTGATTAATCAATGAAACACTGTCTACGAAATAATCGTTAAACTTAGCTGCAATTACTTGTTCTGACTGTTATAATGTGCCATTAAAAGTTATGGACCGCGGTTTGCAATTACTAGGTTTTAATAAAGATTTCAAAATTTTCCATAACTCTTTGCTGTTGTTTTGATGCTGATCAATCTTCCTTTGAACATATTCACAACGAGTTTTCTTTAACGATTGTGAATACTTATTACGCGCGATTGTGTACCTAGTCCAATGATTGTCATTATTAGATCTACAAAATTTTTTGTACCATTTGTCCCTTTTCCGTTTAAGACGCAAAAGATCCAAATTGTACCAGCTGTTCGAGTTTTTCAAAGAAACAAACTTTTGATCAACTAGTTGATTGGTACACGTTTTCAAAGCGTTATTAAGAACAGCTGTAGATTCATCTAAGTTACCGGCGGCGAATGGAAAATCCACGCTCCTCTCAACAAGATTCGAAACAGCTTGTTTCGAATATTTCCTTCCAGCACATGGTCTAAGATATTAATCACTAAGTCTTCACAAGAGTTGATTTTGTCTTCTTTTTTTATGAGCTTGTTCCAACACAGTGCAAACCCGAACAATGTGTCAATGTAGACCCGAACCCTCGCCAGTTTTCAAAAATAAACATTCCAACGGACGTTTTTGAGGAAACAAGAGCACCATTCTATTGGGTAGTACCAATCCAGGATTGAACGGAAGAATTAATAATTTCGTTATTAGAAACTATTTTTTTCAAATTGTCGTTTTTATTACTGTTGTCAAAGAAGTAACCCATGTTCTTCAAAGCTAAATTTTTTGGTCAAAAAAAAAATGCTCTGAGCCATTTATTTTTCGAAGATATCGATTACCTCCGCGAAAGGAAGTAAAGGGGCAGGCAAGTAGCTTTTTTTAAATGTTTGATTTAATTTTTAGTTTGTTCCCCGAAGAGTTAACGACATATGATTTTTTGCTAGATCTAAGTCAGGTCAATTTATTATATAGCACACAGTGTTGAATAGTTCATTTTCAAAAAAAAAAGAAGTTATTTCGCCGTTCTACAGAGAATCATTTCGCTGAAGAACTAGCTATGCAAAAATCGCAAACGAAATGAGGATAAAAGTTCCCGAACGAGATGAGCGAAACAGTGTAGCAAACGATTCCGAAAGAAAATTCCGACTTCACTCTCTCAACCTATTTCACAAAAAAATCAAGAAACGAGCAAGCTGATGTTCTTGTCTCCTATGTCATGTTTTGTCGAATGGAATTATCTCGCTTAGTTTCTGTCACCAGGGTTGCCAGATCTACTGATTTATCGGAAGTCCTACCGATTTTTGGAATGCCTACCGATTCTCAGACGAAAGGTTCAAAACTACCGATTTTTCACTTTCCCTACCGAGAATCACAGATTTTAAGGCTGTGTTCCATTTGGTGAATTTTCACTTAAACTTTACGCTTCGAAAATAAATTGTAGTGTTCGAAAATCCCTCTGTTGTTGATCGTCCGATTTTTTTTAAGAAGGTCAAGATTAATTCCTGATCGGTCAGAAATAAGTCTGCTGGAATAGCAGGTTTATTTGAATTTTTTTCATCTGTCAAGTTTAGGTGAAAATTCACCATTCGAACACAATGTTCTTCTTCTTCTTCTTCTTCGCATTTCAAGCTTATTGCATATCGCACATTAGCTTATTGCGTGCTCTCAACTTAGTGTTCTATAGATGCACTTACACAGTTATTAATTGAGAGCTTTCGATGCCTGTACCATTTTTGCATTGATGTGATTGTGTGGCAAGTCCAATCATACTTCTATGCCCAGGAAAGTCGAGAAATTTTCCAACCCGAAAAATTCCTAGACCGGACCGGGAATCGAACCCAGCCGCCTCCAGCATGGTCTTGCTTTGTAGCTGCGCCCTTACCGACTGAGCTAAGGGAAGCCCCTTAGTAACACAATGTTAGTAATCTCGAAAAAATTTCAAAACCTATTTTTTGATGTCCTAATAAAAATGTTATGGTTAATTTGCTTAACGACGTGTTCGGGGTATCATCCAAACTATTTGTGGATGATATGTTGTCCTCCGTTTTTGACAACATTAGAAGGAGAAAAGGAGACAAACTAGTCAAAAGTAGGTAGCAGTGGGTACTTTTTTCTCACCGTTTACGAATGAGTTTTTTTTACGTTTAATCAACTTACCAATACTTGTTCGTTTACCCTATTAAAAAAACATCGGTTCGAAAGTCTGACATTGCGCGTGATTTGTTTTCATCGACCCCTCCCCCTCCCCCCCCCCTCCACTCACAAAGATTTCAAGTTTCGGAAGAGCCTTCGGCCTACCGATAACTTCCGATAAAAGTTTTGAGAACCTACCGATAATGAAAAAAAATAATCTGGCCACCCTGTCTGCCACTCTGCTGTTTTCTTTTTCTATATAAGGTGTTTTGCTTTATGCATGATGATATTTAGGTTACATACTTGTTGGAGCTACCCGTAAGTCATAATTGCTGGGAGTTTACATTTAAGATGCATTTAATACACATTTAGAAGGATTTCACTTTATGTAACTCTAGTTTTAAGTTAGTCATAAGAGCATCTCCACCGCTGGTTCTCATGTCGGTTGTTAAATGATGCCCAGAATGGGTCTCTATTTAGTTTAGAAACCGGACAAAATTGGATTTCCCTCCGCTGTTTTTTTTTAGGTTTTGTTTTATTTTTGTGTTGTGATGGTCGGTGCAGGAGGAATAAAAGTAAGTTCCCGGAAAACGATATGCTGTTTGTTCTTGTAAGTATACTTGAATGTTTGTTGTTTAATAACATGTCTTTTTGACGTAGACTACGTCTTACGGGAAGGTACTGGGGGGTAAATCGAAAATCTAAAATTGCGACCGTCACGAAAAGGTGTAAGGTTTTGAACGCTTATAACTTTGTCAGTTAAAGATGAAATTTTAATCCAAATACACCAATCGATAGGAAATAATTCTCGTAAGCTGTTACAATAAAAGATTTTTCAATGTTAAAAAAAAAACTCCAATTTATTATAAAAAAAGAGGAAATCGACTAACTCCTACATGATTTCCCCAGAAGTTGCACTGGTGGTCATATAGGTCAACACAGACTTTATCTAAAGCTGCATGATTTGTACCACTGGCATGGAATGAAAATTTCGATCGCAAAATTCAATTTTGCAAAATAAATAAAATTTTAAAAAGGGCAAAAGAAACATCGATTCCTGCATAGGCATTTGATGTTATATCGATTGACACTGTTGGACCTTTGCCAAAAACAGTTAGCAATAATCGCTATTGAATAACAATACAATGCGACTTTTCAAAATTTGCTGTTCTGATACCCATCCAGGATAAAGAAGCTTCCACTATTGCACGCGCATTAGTAGAAGACTTTATTTTAAAATTTGAAAACTTTTTAGAATTGAGATCTGACAGTGGTATGGAATATTGTAATGAAGTACTATGTCAGATTGGAAACATTATTTATTTCAAACCAAACTTCTCAACAGCCTATCACCCACAATCAATAGATGCTTTAGAGAGAAATCATAGATGCCTGAATGGGTATCTAAGGTTTTTCTCGAATGATCACCACAATGATTGGGATGATTGGGTAAAGTTTTATTCATTCGTCTACAATACGACTTCATACACAGACACGGGGTGTACACCCTTTGAATTAGTTTTTGCCAGAAAAGCTAATTTGCCACAGGATCTCATTTATAACAAAGTTCAACAAATTTATAATTTTGAGCAATACTACAATTAAATGAAATTTAAAATACAAAAAGCTCATGAAAACGCTAGGAATAAATTAATTCAGGAAAAAATACAAAGAACTTCACAGTTGAATAGAAATTTGAATCAAATAGATGCGTCTGTTGGTGATTTAGTATATAACATATGAAAACCGGAAAAAAATAGATTATTTTTACGTTGGTCCAAACAAAACAAAGAAAATTGAAAATTGTTACTGTGATATTGAATATTTAGGACAAACAAAAGAGATAACAGTACATAACAACAGATTAATAAATTTATAAAAAGGAATGAAATAAAAAAAGAAAAACAAAAAAAAAGAGGGAAGGATATAGCAATTAGGATATATTTAATGAAATATCGAAAGTTCAAGAAGAAGAAGATCAAAAAAAGAAGAAAACAAAATCAAAATGTATAACAAACTGCATTTCAAAACCTTCAACAAAACAATACTCAAGGAAGAAAAATTAAATTCTTATTTTCAAAATTCATACGAGTGTAAAATTTCTTACGCTACTTTTTCTAAAGAGGGAAGGTGTAATGTGATGATTAAGGATTCCTAAAATTTAACATAAACTGTCACTCGGTTGCCACACAATGAGACGGATGATTTTATCGTTTGTAATATAAACATCGTAGCAGTAATAAACGTACATAGTGTAATAAACTTATTATTGACCGAACCTTTAACCTAGTCATACGCTGCTAACGGCAGTTTATATCACAGCCAGTAAAGTAGTTAATAACACAGCACTGTATTTGAAATATCCTCGCTAATTTTGTGAAAAACAATCGTCACTTGTGCTGTGCCACTCCCACACCAATACACGGACTGGTGAACTCACACATTCACACTTTTATCACACACACACACACACACCCACCAACCCATTGATGGGACTCAAATTAGGTTAAACGATCATCAATCAACTGCGTCGTCCAAAATGGGTAGAAAATGTATCGAACTAAGTCGTTGCACCCACGCACTTACCTGATGGTACTTTCCGCCAAGTCACGAAGGTAATCAGTAAGCAATGGTTAAGGGATAAACGTCTGACCGATCACTTCCTTTTGCAACGGTTTATGGAGCACTGTGGTACTCTGAAATTAAAAAAAAATAATAGTGTTAATACTGTATTCACCTTCATTTCTTTCCCTAAACAGCCAATCAAATTGGAGAATTATTAGTGAACGCAAAACGCACAGGTTCGGAGAAGGAAGAAAATCCTATTGCAGCTAAAGACACACTCACGTTTTACTTTTTTTGTTGAATGGTTAGAATCTTCCAATGGTGAGCAACGCCCCAAGCGGATACAACTAACTAAGTAGCACTGCCGAAGTGATGCGTGCTGTCATCAATGTCAAATGACGTAAGATGTTGGTGATAGCACTGAATTTCGTGAATCCATGGATCATAGCACACTAGCCGAACCAATCACACACTTGCACATTCCAACCAATCGCATTAATATTCATTAAACGGCTGCCTCATTCATACACAAGACTAAACACTCAGGCCATGCTACGGTTCGTTCACACATGCAGCTTTAGAGTGGCCCACATGTATATGGGTGAAAATTTGACGTAGGCCTACGTCTTTAATTTCTATACTGGGGGTAACACTGAAAAAAAAAATCCAAACAATAGAGCGCAAATCGAACAAACGACACATTGCTCATGCGCAGTGTTGCCATATTATTTCCATTTTTAATCTGTATTTTCGAAGCAAAAAAATATTTTTAATCTGTTTCTGGCTGACAAAAATCTGTAAAATAATCAAAAAATCAAATCCCAATAATGAGAGACAAGAATATTTTCGTAAAACTTGATTTTTTGATATCCGAGATTAGAAAAATCTTTGTCAGGTCGTTTGTTAATTTTTTCTCAACAATTTAAAAAAATGAATAATAGGCATTAAAGTTTTATGAAGTATTAGTTATAAAATGTTATGCTCGATGTTTCATTTTCTCAAATTCTTCTAATCAAACCAAATTTCAACTTTATCTAATCATTTGGCGGATTAAAAGGATATTGAATTCGCGAGCTGTTGCTCGAACCTATATACCTAAGTGCACTCAGTATTTTTTGCGATAAGCTTTGGCATGGTTTCATCTGATTTTCTTTATTTGCAATCGTGTTCATATGTTCTATCACCTTAATTGTATTTTGTCACAAGTCACAACACATAACTTTTAATTCGATGCTTAGTAGAATTGAATAGAATATTCTTTATTTTTGATACTACGCTAGTCAAATGTCAAAATATCCAGTTGACTCTTCGACTCAGAAACTGTAATCAATCAGCTTGTGGGTTTTTGAAACGGCTTGTTTACTTAAAACGGCGACAAATTAAAAAAAAACATAGTACCTCTCATCTTGTGAAATGGTTATTTAAACAATAAGAATGAAAAACTAGCATCCCTTTTATCGAGCAATCAGAAATCAGAACATCTGCGCATCAGAAGTCCGTTCAAGATGAGGGTACACCTATGTGAATCTATTTAAAAAAAAAACCTTTAAATTGGCATTCTAAGATCACGAATAGCTATTTGGTTGTGGAGTAATCTCTTCTGAAAAATGAAATTTTTAAAAAATCTCAAAAATTCAGGGTTGTAGCCCAAAAGGACCTAGGCACTTTAGAGTAAAATAAAAAAAGGCGTTTGTTCAGAATGCCAAAATAAGCATTTTGGCCAAGTTTGGCTCAAATCGGTGACATCGACCATAACTTTTTTTAAATTCTGTATCCACTTGAGCTGGAATGACTCATAGGTGTATAGGTATTTCAAGACATCAACATTGCACCATTTGTTTAAAGTAATACATCTTCAATATTTTAGCTCGCCGTTACAATGATCAAATCGAATTAAATTTTTTTGCTATCTTGATAATTTTATCGTGCTGCTATATGGCTGTCAGTAAGTTTTAAACGACTATTCATATTATGATACTCACTCTTAGTTGCGGTACAATTTACGCTTCGTTGGTTTCACTTATTTGAATTCTTCTGTGTACAATTATGCTCACCAAATTAAACACCACAAAAATACTTCTTCACCTTACAGCTGAGCACTCTAGATAAGGACTAACTGGACTTCACCGTCACATCGCTCTTATAAATGGATTGTGATGAACTAATCTGCTGCGCAGCGTCGAATTTCGATAACGATAATTATACATAGCAAATTCACAATCTCGTACTGGCGAGCAGTGCTGAGCTTTGTCATTGTCATTGACAGACTTTTGCGCGATATTGACAAAATTGTTTTTCACATGGTCAAAATCTAATTTATTTTTTCGTCAATGACAAAGATTCACCTGGTAACAAAAGATGTAATTTCGTGCATTCTGCAAGAGAGCGTGTCACTTTTACTCATTCGTATGGAGAAATTTCTTAAAGCTGAGTTTCCTACGCTACGCATAAATTTCTCCCAACGAATCACTAAAAGGCACTCACTCTCTGGGTCAAATTCGTTTTCGGTGTAAGCATTTGGTAACCAGTCGACAAAAACATATTTTTTGGGTGGTTTATCGGTTTTATCAGCTCAATTTTTAATATCGATAACAGGCCTGTCATGGTGATTACTCATGGTTACTTGTTTTTTTTTTTTTTATCAAAAATAACTGGGCGCAGAAATATCGATCTTCATGTGAGCAGTTCCACGCCAAACGACGAATAGATCAGACTCGACCTTCTCCAATTTGTATGAAACTTTGTGTAATTGTTTGTTATGGGTTATTATTCACATTCTTACTAGAATTCGGGCCTTTTAGATTTTGGAAATTCGCTGCTGCTGCGGCCCAGTCAGTTCTAGGGTCCTCCACCACCCCTGGTTGATCATACGCTGGTGCTGTCTCAGATAAGCCTGTCTACAATTCTCCGTTCACCTTGGAGGAACTTGTGACGCTCGCGGCCGAGGTCATCACCCAGGTAACAATTTGATGCTTAACAAGTGTTGATTAATCGATATCAATTCAGCCTTAGATTGAATAATTGCTGTACATAGACCACGTTAGCCTTTGTCCAGCTTTTAAACATCTAAATCTGGTGATTTTAATCAGCCAAAAGCTCAACAGTTTTATACATTATAAGCTTTTTAAGGCATTAAATAACAGTCTTTTCCAACCCTTGTTCAGCCTTCTAATTTTATTTCAAAAATAATAATGGAAGACCGTTCCATGTCTTATGCATTTATATGGAAATTGCTTTAACTTGTTGCTGACTAATTGGATTAACATATTTATATTGTTAAGATAAGTCTAAAAATTACCTTTGCATTTCGGGATTCGAACCGGCAATCGCTGATTCATAGGCGTCAACCATACCTTCTGGACCATTTAGGCATATGTGTGGTAAAAGGTATGATCATTAACTTGAAGCACGTCAAATTTATGTAGAATAACAGCAACCGGAACAGTATTATACAGCAATGCAGAATTGTAAGCAACAACTGGTGAGAGGAATGTCATTGTCATGTGCACTTTACACAATGTGGACACAAGCACGCGATTTATTTTGATGGTCATTTGGATGCTATTTTAGTGCCATCATTGAGTAATATTTTTGGAATGCGGTCTGAAAATTCAGTACAATACAATATAAAGTGGTGAACAGTCAAAACACAGAAGTACAAATGTTAATACTTCCGACGTCCTCGTAGACCACTTCTACCTATAGCTATTCCTAAAAATCTCCTTTTCCTTGTCTCTACTGCTGCCACTGCCTGTAATTAGAAAGGTAGGCAGTGAATTTAGTAGAACTAAAATGCCGAACATGCAACGAGTTAAACAGACACTGACGACATTTAACTAATCAAGCTATCAAAATATGTGGAACGTATTGCTAATTTGTGGAGTTTTGTAAAGTTTAAATAAGGCTTGTTCAATCTTTGGACGAGCTTACCTATTTGAGGTTGGATTATGGGGATACAATTCGCTTCATGCACTACTAATCAACTATTTATTCAGCCTGATGTTAATCAGCTTTGTACACCTTATATCAACCAATAATCAGCTTCTGTTCTTAATGTTCAGCTTGTATTGTTACTTGGGCATCATCATGCGCACCTGCAAGACTCGATCTGAACAGCTCCATGTTGCCCTGCCCCTGTATGGATCGTGAGGCCATCAAGATCGTAAATTGGAACGCTTGCTGCTTCAACATCGAGTCAACAAAAACATCGAGTTTGTGAACTTTCTCAACGAACGGCACATTGACATAGCCGTCATCACCGAGACTCACTTGAAGCCCGAGCTGAACGCCTTCCTTTCCGACTTTCGGCTCGTAAGGCTTGACCGCACCAGCTCCGGAGGAGGGGGAGTGGCTATCGCTGCGAGACGGAACATCAGCTGCCGGCTACTACCAAACTTCCAGCTGAAAACTATCGAAGCCATCGGAGTTGAGCTGAGCACATCGCTTGATCCAATCACCATCATCGCGGTCTACTGCCCCAAGCAAACCAACATTAGAGACGGCTCGGCCGCAGACCTCCAAAGAGACATCATCAACCTAGGTGGCAAAATTTCGTCATCGCTGGCGACCTGAACGCCAAGCATCAAGCCTAGGGCAATAGTCGGCGAAACCAGAACGGCACTTTCTTGTTCAACAGGAAGCCCACTACATAATCATGTGCCCGTACACTCCCACCCGGTTGAGTCAATCCGGAGCTTATGCCACCATCGACATCTTCATCAGCAACATTGGCGATAACATCTCTCAACCTGTCGCCTATCAGGAACTGAGCTTGGACTACTATCCGGTGGTGGTCCATGTAGTTACCTCGGCCAATAGGTTTCAAATTTTCCAGCGAAATTACTATCATGTCAACTGGCAGCAGAAGGCTAACCAACATTATCCAGGCCAGGATGGTGGAACTCAGAAAGGAATTTTGAAAAAGTTCAGGGAATTTTGTAGAAGATCTAAAGATAGTTCAGTAAACTTCTAAGAACTTCAGGGGTTATCACTTCAGTATAGGGAACTTCGTTGTAATTTGTCAGTGATCTTAATTCTTAAAAGCTCCGTGAACTTCTTGGAGGTTTTGGTAACTTTGTTAAATTTCAAGGAATTTTCAAGATGTTCATTAATATTTGTAGATGAAAGGTGCCGTTCCAGAAGTGCAAAGATGTTCAGAGATCTTCGTAGAATTTAAGAGAGATTAACAAAATATGTAACTTCGTAGAAGTTGAGGAAATTTAGTAAAACTTAAGGGAGATTTGTAGATGTTTAGGAAGCGTTGCATAAGTTACAGGATATTTTTTCAAACATCCTTCCTAGACAGCAGGAAATATTCAAAAGACCTCCATATAGACGAAGATATTAGTAAATTTCTCTGGATATTTTTCCAAGACTTCAGGTGGATCAAGTTCTGAGGATCTCCAACTGTTTAAAATTCAAGTTTCTCTCAAGACTGTAGGTTGTTCAGGCTGTACTGTAATCCGGGGGCAAATTGATAATTATGCGTTGCACTTTTAACTGTCACGTATAACATGATCGGTGAGAGATATCAAGAGAAATCTTAAAAGTTTATCAGTAATTGTATAGAGCTGACGTTAGGTAGCACACAATATCAACATTCAAACAAACGATCATAGAACTGCAACGAATGATTTCATTACCATTCAAGAAGCATTTTTTACTAAACTAAGTGTCAATGAATTCGAATTATTTAATTAATTGCAGTAGAATGTTTCAAATATCAAGAAATCCAGGGTTTTTCGCAAAATTACCAGTGAATTTGATTGAAATTGGCTACATTTAGGCACAAATGAGCATTTAAGACATATTTTTTGGCATTTCTGCTGAAAATACTTTTCACATAAGAGTTTAAGCATCTGAATCTGATTAAGGGAACCCACATTTTATAAGAACCATTACTAGAAATGCACTGGGAAGCCAATTGAGGGGTGGATCAATTTTCAAAAAATTCCTAAAAATTAACAAAACATCCAGTATTATAAGAAATCACGCAGGACGATGGAGCCTCATAGCTACTGATTTAAATACCATTAGTTTTTCAATCTAGTTTATTCGAGAGAAATTTATTTATTAACGTTAACAAGTGATCAATCTATCCTCGGATTACGGTATTCAAATGTTTTCCAGCTAATTGAATCTGATGGAATCTTGAATGATGAATCTAGATTTTATGGAAGACCCGTGCCTTGGTGATTTAGCTATATTGTCAAGAATTAGCACTCCTGCAGATGAATTTCGGGCATTAATTTCAACAAAAAGATGCAAGTTTCTACATATATCAACTATGTATGCCCGGAATTCAGCTGCATGATAGTTTGAATGCCTTAGCACATAGAAAAATTCGTGCATTTTTGTGTGTGTGTTTTTTTTATTAAATTCATCAAGAACACTGAAAACCTTTGTGTAAATATTTGATTGGTTCCGAATGGGTAGAACCAAAACTATCTTTATTTAAAATTTTAAAAAATCCCACATCTTCTGTAAACATAAATTTAATTATTATCTAGTTACAAACAGGGACACAATCATTCAAGTTTCGAATTCATTCATTTCGACTAAAATTAAAGATAAATCTTGATTGACTCCGAATGTTCGTTAGTCCGATGCATCGAACACAAATTGTTCTGGATAAATGCTTTCTTACTTTCTTTTCGCTTCAAATATTACTTTTCATAATTTTTGCCAGATGTAAAATTTTTTATAAATTTTTGAATATTAATCTTGCACATTTTCTTATTTTGAGATGCTTAAATTTATGACATCCGGACGTTAGGTGATTTTATTAAAAAAAAGCATGAACAAAGGATCATTGCTTGTTTAAATTTAGTAAGCTTTTAAGGATCCCCCAATCGAGGTCCCAATCTAGTTGCTATGGAATAAATATAATCAAATGTATTGTTTCACCACTAAAATAAAAGTAAGACTCAATGATGTTTTATTGTTCACAGAAAAAAAATGTACCCGAAAACAAGCATTTTCGCGAGTTTTTATTTAACCGTAGTCCAGATAAATTTTATAGCTACGTCAATGCTAATATCAAGACTACACTTTTGCCTAGGGCAAACAGCCGGGTAATTTGCTTGCCGCTCGACAGACGACCATACGCATCAAACGAAAACCGTCCTTTTCACCATCACCAAAACGGTCCTTTTGAGGGCCAGAAAACATCAAAACGGATTTTTTTCAGGGCCACCACAATTTTCAAAGAACAAGAATAATTACACATGAACTGAAAAAGAGTCTCATTAGTAATAAACGGAAAACGGACACTGATCAATTATGAAAATTTGGAAGAAATCAACGGATGTCTTAAAAATGCCGGGAAATTTTGAATAACGTTCGATCAAAATAGTTAACATATGTGAGCGTAGTCCTACGTCAACTGTTCGTACAACCCCATTGGGCTGTCCTTTGTAGTTTTTTTTTAAGCTACGTACGATAACAATCACTATATAATCTCATTTTATTCGATTTCATACCTTACGTTTATTTCGTTTTCTTCTTGTGATTCATATTTCGGACACTGAATTTGAACAAGCGTGATGTATGATAAATCTTCAACATGTTATCTCACCGTAACATGAGCGAATCAAATTAAAATCTTTTGCCATCTCGATAATTATATGCGCTGTTATATGGCTGTCGGTCAGCTTTAACCGAATATTCATATTATGATACTCACACTTAGTTGCGCTCCAATTTACACTTCACAAGTTTCTCCAATTTGAGTTCTTCTGAGTAAATTTTTTTTTTCACCGAATTGAGCACCACAAAAATACCTCAAGGTAGTGAGTTCTTCACCTTACAACTGAGCAATGTATGTAGATAAGGACTAACAACGAGCTTCTGCTTGACTTCACCATCGCACTGACTCTTATAAATAAATTGTGATGAACTAATCCTACTGCGCAGCGTCGAATTCCGTTTCAATGAAAATAATTCGACGCATCTGACGCGCTGATAATCTCTCTTCATTTCAAACATCATAGTCAGTACGTTTTGCATGTTAAACAATAAAATTATGAGGTTTTGTGCAAGGCATTATGGTAGATGTGGATGTTATGTAATAATGATAATTATGTTTCAGTGCATTAAATAAACTGAAAACTTGAGTCGTCTTACACTCAACTTGAGTGAAATCTAGTCAGCATGTTCATTATTCCTTTATTTAACGTCGGTATCTGTTCTGCAATTCGGTATCTGTATCTGTTGACGGAAATCGAATGTGCAGGAAGGCAGCTTCCACACCTGCGTAAGATATCGCACCCATTCAACACACACACACATGGGCTGGGACCAACGGCTTTACTTCCCTCCCTGAGTTATTTATTTAACAAAGAAAATGTAACAGAACGTGTCATAAACATTGGCTGGTTAGTTGTTAAAATATCAAAAATCATAATATAATGAAAATTCATCTAGTGGTAACAATATTATAACAGATCTTGATATGATTTTATCAAAATTATTACAAAATTAGATATAATCTATCGCATTCAAAATTATATATATCTATATATAAACCGTTGTAATAAATTCCCATATTTCTGGCAATGGAAATGTCATTTATTTTTTACCTTTTTTTTAATCTCAGTCAAATAATTAATGGGAATTCATCAACTGTAGGTCATTTTAATTAAATAAGAGTAATTTTCCTGGCTTCTTTTTCCATATTATGCCAGAACTCGTTTCATAATTTATTTATTTCCATTTCGTCAAGCCAGTGTAGACTACATACAATGATTATTACAATGTTTACTTACATACTATGCATTAATTCTATTCTGTTTTAGCTTAGTTTGTATTTGCTGCTTGGACATAGTGATGTCAATAGTTCCACAATGCAAATTATATAGGCGCATCATTCGATTGATTGGGCTATTTTTTGCATAGTTTGTTCTGTACGATTTTTCTGAAAATAAATTCCGTGTTCTAAGATATCGACAAGGTGTGTAAAAGTTTAATTGTGCGAGAATTTCTGCCGAATCTATGCGCATTGAAATAATGTCGTTGATGAAGAAAAGCATTGCAAATTGGCGGCGCTCCTTAAGTGTTTGTATATTGATGAGCATGCAGTGCGTTTCATAAGATGGTAATGGAAATGCAGTCCGATTCAATTTACGTAAAGCATACAAAAGGAATTGTGTTTGGACAGATTCTATGCGTTCTTCGTGTATAGAAATGTATGGATTCCATACTAGGTGGCAGTATTCCAGAATTGGCCTGACATATGTGGTATATAATAGCTTAATAGTGTATGGGTCTTCGAAATTATGACTGAACCTTTTGATGAAGCCTAGCATTCTGTTTGCTTTACTTATGATAGTATTATAATGTTCTATAAAAGTTAGTTTGGAGTCTAGGATTACACCTAGATCTCTTACAATTTTCCTTTTTATCTACTATTTGGTTGCCTAATGATATTTCAATATACGGTGTTTCAATTATTGCAGTACATTTTTTTACGTTCAGTTGAAGTAGACTTTTATTACACCAGGTAATATATTGATTTCATTCTGGAATTCTTCTGCATCGCTAGATTTACTTATTTCCATAAAGAGCTTCATGTCGTCTGCATAAACAAGCAATTTTATTTTTTTAAGTATGTAGGAAATGTCGTTTATGTACAAAATAAAAAGAAGTGGGCCTAAATTAAAACCCTGGGGTACCCCAGAGGTGACTGAAATTGGTTCTGAAAGTTTATTTTGAAAGCGGACTATTTCTTTACGATGTGTTAGGTAGTCCAGGCTCCATCCTTATTTTCGGCATTTTGAGGATTAATAATGGTATGTCGATTCGGTCAAATGCTTTACTGAAGTCGGTGTATACCGTTTCAACGTGCTTGCCACTGTCCAACGCTTTAATAATGAAAGATACATATTCTAGAAGATTAGAGGTAGTTGAGCGACCTTTAAAAAAGCCGTGCTGTTTACTTGTAATTAGATTTTTCACCTGCTGAAAAATATTGCCGTTTACGATTGATTCAAAAAAAAATTTGGAATGAAAGAAATAATAACAATTCCACGATAATTTCGAATGTCTGATTTTGCACCTGATTTGAAAATAGGTACCAAATAAGATGATTTCCAAATTTCAGGGAATTTCCGTTTCTCAGAGACATGTTGAAACGACGCTCTAGAGGAAATGCGAGTTCTTCAGAAAGTTTTTAAATATGGGTACGATGCCGTCAGGTCCAGACCCTTTCGACGCGTTTAAGTTTTTTAGTGCATTGAGGACTTCATGTTGAGAAAGTTGGTTGACAGAGATGTTTTCAGAAATTTCAGGAATGAATGCAAAGAAATCGCGGTCACGATCTTCTTCGGAAAATGTGGTGTATACTTCTTGGAAGAAATTGGCAAAGAGATTGCAAATTTCAGAAGAATTCTCACCTACATTTGCATCCAAATTCATTCGCGAAGGAAAATTGCTGCTTTTTAATTTCGTGTTTACATAATTAAAAAAGTTCTTAGGACATGATTTGACTTCATTTTCGACTTTGCGGTTATAGTCCTCATATGCAGAGTTGATGGCTGTATTTAATTGGTTGCATAAGTTGTGATAGTTTTGCAAATTGGTTTCAGTTTTTTCTTTTTTGTATAGTTTATGAGCTTTCTGTTTTTTATTCTTCAAATTTTTCAGTTGTGGATTGAACCATGCGGGTAGTTTATTGTGTGGTGCTTCATCAGCCAAAGATTTTTCAGCAGCTGGTTTGTCTCTCCGATAAATGCGGAGTTCCAACAACCGATCTGAGAGAAAAAAAGGTTGTTCTAGCAATTCTGAATGAATGAATGGCTTGGTTGCCGTCGTTCGTGGTTTTCCACATGGATTGTTAGAGGATCTTCCATCAAATCATGAGATTCCTATGGTGATGGAATTTCATTCATCATCTGGTTCAGAAGCAGCAGGCTGCCAATCTATTTCGGATCGCGGTCGGTAGAGTTTTCTGAAGACGAATCAGAAAAATCCGAAAATTTTATACAAGCAGAATTCTTCGAAGGATACGATGAACAATGTTATAAGACACTTTTCGGCCCCGGAACCGCTAGGACCTGGAGAAGGACCTGCCAAAGCCCCAAGCTGCCGGTCTAAGCCTACGACAGCTCCCGGGGTGGGCACTCACGACCTCTGATAGTTCCGGGTCTCAAGGCGTACGGGCGTGGGAGAGTTTTCGGACAAAGGATCCTATCAAACGCTACGGTCAACGGCTGGGCTTTGGTGGTGACGGGTGGCGATCGGGTGATGGTCGGGTGGCAGTAGGATGGCGTCCGGTAGGCGACCAGGTGGTGGCCGGGTGGTGTCCGGGTAGTGTCCGGGTAGTGTCCGGGTAGTGTCCGGGTAGTGACTGGATGGTCGCCGGTAGCAGCCGGATGACGCTCGTACGACGGCCGGGTATACTGCCGGATGAAGGCGAGTTCGGTCGGAGGAGGCGGCTGAGTGCGGCCGGATGAAGACCGAGTTGCGGCCGGGTTGGCGGCCGGAGGGAGGCGAGTTCGGTCGAGGGGACGACTGAGTGCGGCCGGATGAAGACCGAGTTACGACCAGGTGGCGTCTGGGTAGTGTCCGGGTAGTGACTGGATGGTCCCCGGTAGCCGCCGGATGACGCTCGTACGACGGCCGGGTATACTGCCGGATGAAGGCGAGTTCGGTCGGAGGAGGCGGCCGAGTGCGGCCGGATGAAGACCGAGTTGCGGCCGGGTTGGCGGCCGGATGAAGACCGAGTTACGGCCAGGTGGCCGGTTACTTAAAGCAGCTGGAAGACGTCCGGGCGGTGGCCGGGTGGCGGCTGAGTGGCAGCCCGTCGGTGGACGGATTATGACCGGGGTTCGATCGTACGATAGGTGTGGTGATCCCGCAAAAGTACGGCTTATCACTATGCACGTGGTTACAGTTCGAGATTTCTCTCAAACCCTAGCCGTCTGCTCACTGGACGACACACGAGCGCACGTCTTGCGACTTCGGTGGTTGGCTCTAAACTTCCCCAGCCTCCGTTATCTGCTCACTCTCCTCCATCGTGGGCTCCGTCACTTTCTCCAGGGAGAGTTTCCGCCCACACTCTCTTCGAGTTCAGTGGATATCGCCACCACCCACCTGCACTCATCGTTTAGCTGTTCGATCGTCTGACCACTTATGCCACCCAACAACGAATTCAAATTGACCGTTGCCGATTAAATAATCTCCCTAATATAAATACAGCGATATCCCGTGTAATAAACAGATGAAAACAATGTTACCCGCCGGTAACAATGTGCCAGATCGGTTTTTATTATCTTGTATTAATTCAAGGTAGACAAGACTGAGAACATCATATCTTTTTTCAGGAGCCTTCGGATTACGATCAATCGGCAAAATTTCATTACACCATTCGTGTCAAAGACATAATGTTTATGGCACTGAATTTTCACATAAGGCACAAGCTTACCCAAGGAGGTTTGGAAGACTTTATGAAAATGTTGAATGTTTTCACGATAGGCAAAACTTTTCCCGAAAGCTTTATCACTTTTACCAGCTCCGAAAGGGTTTATTTTTGTATGAATTGTCATGATGGGTATGTCGTCTTCTTGTTCAATAATGACAGCACACTAACAACCTATTTTATTTTAAGATATGAAGCTACTCCACAACCTGAACCTCTATGCCCCGTGGAAAACTCTGGATCAATTTAGATGGACTTTTTGGTTACTTTTCCCTTAGAGCAGCAAATCAGATAATCTTTTTTTGAAATACTCCAAAGAAATAGCTGAATACGAGACATCGGTTATTACTGAATAAATTCGCGATTTAAGCCATTTATGCACAGATGCCTCTAATGATCGTCACTTAGAAACAGAAAATAGTGAATAAACTTATATTTTGAA